CGAATCGGCAAGCAAAGTGTGGGTTCACACAAGGGTGAAAGGAAGTCTGAGTCATTCAACTGACCTTGAGTGAAGTTTGAAGCGGCTCACCCAAGAAAGCCGAGTAGTAGGCCAATCAAAAGAAAATGACCGTCGTAGAAAAAATATGCGGCACACAACTCATAAGTTGTGGCCTTTCTCCAAGTGCCTGATCACACCAACGTTGTGTCCACTAGGATGTCTGAATGGGGTAACCATCGAAGAGGGTGCTCCCATGATCCAAACCCACGTCGTCCCAACATCCCGGGCAGTTCCAACACAGTCCTCAATGCACCTTTACCACCAAGGTTACCTCCTAATCAACCGCAAGTTCACACCGCCTCCCATTACCATGTCCGCTCACAATAGCCATACCAACACGCCGATCCTGATCTCATAGTGGGTCCCACCTGGTCGCAAAATGGTCCCAGATGGTCTCAATGCAATCCCATACTATTGCCCGCAATACCAGATGGTCCAGAACTCAAAACCGTTTGCACTACGTGCCGCAAAAAAAAATAAAGGTGGCCCCCGGTGAAACCCGCAGGTGCCGCGGGCCCCATAATTTTTTCGCCGTGAGCAACCGCTCTGTACTTTCTGCATGCCGTCGACCCACGCACCACTGCCGCACAGTCTCAACCATGCGCCAACGCTAGCCCAACCTCTAGGTCATACTAAAATCCACCATAACCACCGCACACCACAAAAATAACCCGGACCACTGCTTGCTGCGCCGTCAAAACCGGTACCATGGTTGCCCCGCAACACCACCGCCTGATCACACACCAAAATTGCCTCCACTACGACGCAAAAACCCACAACAATCTTCTCTCACAATAGTGCTGCCAACATGCCGCCAGCATACCCTCAAGAAAATAACGTCGATACCACTGTCAATCTCGGCAGCATGGTCCCACCGAAAAATGTTGTTGCCACCGTACCAAAACAACCGACAACATTAAGTCTTCCTAACTGACAGCGTTGCTGCCGCCGTGCAAGACCGGCAGCGCTTCCGCACACTGCCGTTAACTAGTGCAGCCGCCGCAAAAACCCGGCAGCGCTTCCGCGTCACTGCCAAAACAATCACAATGCCGCCGAAAAAAAATTCAGCAGCGCTCCCGCAGTACGTCAACAAAAACTATCGTCGCCGCAAAAACTGCGTGGCATCTCCTCAACAAAGTGCTGGCGCTGCCACCGCCATGAAAAAACGGCAGTGCTTCCGGACCACTGCCGTTAAAACCAATGCCATCGCCGAAAAAATCCGGCGCAGCGTCCAGACCCTGACGCAGCCTTACCATCGCAGCACCAGCCCACATACACAGCACACACACAAGGGTGCCAGTGGGGCAAAGCTCCAAGCCCTCAGCTATGGCTGCCTCCCTTCTCCTCCTCCAACTCCCTGCATACCTCCACTCTCCACGTCAACACCTCCACCGACAGCACCGCCCCTCTCCAGCAGCATGCAGCACCCAACCAGCATTCACTCAAGTAAATGCCCCTGCAGCACTGCCTCAAGTGTGAGGCTGCTAGGTGGAGTGCTGGCTTTTATAGCCAGCTGATGGTTGTGGGCAGCTGCTTTGCCTACAGCCATACAAAATTCATGGGTGCTCCTGGCCCTCGATCTAGATCAATGGCCCGGAGCCCGAAGCCTTGGTTTCCCCTTAGGGGAACCAGGGTCATCAGTTCCTTGGAGCACCTGGCCGTTTTCCTAGGCCAGGTGCTTTTGGAAATGGCTGAACTCAGCCATTCCAGAACTGCCTGTTCAACTAAACAGACACTGTCCCATCAGCCCCTAGAACCTTCTAAGGGCTGCACCTAGCCCACGACAACGACCATATTCGTGGCCGTTTTCCCCTTCTCTCCTTTTCCTCCCATCTACTTCTTTGTTCTACCCCTGTACCTATTCTATCCTCGCGGCCACGTACGTGGCCGCCACTCACTTTTTACTTCTGTTTTTTTTTTTCCTTTTTACCCCCCCGTTTTCCTGCAGGGGCAGTTTGCCGTTCGAAATGAACGGCCGTCGAACTAGAGCTAAGCTTAGCACAGTCTTCTGTCCCATGCCCCCCCTGGGCCCCCCACACGCGCCCGTACCTAGGCGCCAGTGGTGCCAGATTCAGGCGCACTGGGGACTGCTGCCCGTTTTAAAAACGAACGGGCGCAAGTAGGTACTACAGGAGAACAAGGGGGGGGGGGGGGGAAAAAAAAAAAAAAAAAAAAAAAAAAAAAAAAAAAAAGGGAGGGAGTTGGGTAGAAAGAAAAAGAGAGAAAGAGAGAGATTGAGAGGGGGAGAGAGGGGAATAAAGAACAAAAAAAAAAAGAGAAAAACAACAAAAAAAAACGGGAAAGGCCTAAGCCCTATGAAACAAACGAGCGTCGCGACGCCCGTCGCTCCTTTTTTCAGGGACTACAAGTCCCTGTAGCTGCTGTTGCGTGAACGGGCATTGCGCAACTCGTGAAACGAAAGGTGAGGTAGTGTACATTCCCATGTTCTAGGGGTCGGTTCATTCAATCGTGTAGATAGAACGGGCACTCTTAGGAAAATCATGAATAAGAAACAAACAAAAAAATTCTAAAAGAAATTAGCAAATCTGAAAAAAAATCTAAATAAATAAAATCTATGAGCAAATCTAAAGGAAAAAACCTAAAGAAAATCTAAGGAGGAAAAAAAAAGAAAAAAAAAAAAGGAAAAAAAAAAAAGAAAAACAGCACTTACCTTGCAACAGAAAACGGTCGCACCATCAAGTGCACTTGGGACAGAAGTGCCCCAGTCACTTGTCATCGCGCAAAGTGGCGCTCCACGTCTGCCGCGACTTTTAGACGGTTTTTTTTTTTTTTTTACTCCGTTGGCCTAGCCAACGGTCACGTCGGGGTCATGGTACCCCCACGAACTATTGAAATACAGATCTAGGTTCGATCTTTGATGGGATCGAAAGAAAAATTTGGACCTTTTCTCGATTTATGCGTGTCATCCTTGCGCAGGGGCCATGCTAACTCGTGCGGCCCAGATCTTCACGATCGGACGGTCAGATCCAACCGCGCGGGCTTCAAAAAGTTGCGGTCGGCTCCAAAAAAGAGCCAGCCTAGCAGTGTATGCAGTTTCTCAAATTCGATCCTGGTATCTGATGGGTGAAAGTCTAGTGCTATAACCTACTGGGCTAGCTCCTATCACGATAGTGATAAGAGCTGCTCTTCTATAAGAAGAGCTTGCCCAATCGTTATCCCTTATGTCGGAGCTTTGCAGGCCCCGCCTGCCTATGGCCTCGCAGTCCCTGCCTGCCTGCGTGTGGCCCTGCGGCCCTGCCTGCCTGCTTATGGTCCTGCAGGCCCTGCCTGCCTGTGGCCTTGCAGGCCTTGCCGGCAAGCCTTACCCCGTCGGTTGGCCGCTCGACCCTAGCATTGGCCTAGCAACCCCCTGGCTCGGTGTCAACCCCTGCGGCCCCGGTAAATAAAAATCTTTCCTATGCCTCCCGTGTCGAGGCCCCATACCCTGCACATCCCTCGTTTTAGCTTACTTAGGCCCTGAATCCCGCGGCTTGGCAGCCGCGCGACATTATTTTAGATAGAATAGGTCTAGTTTTACCGTTCCCATGTCCGCACATTCCTACGGCTTCGACAAAAACGAAGCATTACCATTCACATCCGTTACTCCTGGACGCCACACGCGTTCGGACTAACGTCCGAAAACTTTTAGTCTATAAGTCATAGGTCAGGTCTGAATAAACATTGGCAACGTCAGTCTCATCAAGTCCTTCAACTCAGCGAGAAAGTCGGACAGCGTCTGACGTTGAAAAAAACCGGCAAATACCCTTGTCAGGGTATTTGCCCCAACAACGTGAACCCCGTGGATTCATGAGGGGTCGCTCGATGGATCCCGATGATCTAATAGACGATCTCGGGCCTCGGACGTGTGTCACGAGCCGCTAAGTTCTTACGCAGGGCGGTCTTAATAATGCAATTCGCATTCTCAGCCAACCCGTTCGACTGGGAAACATGGGGAGCGGTGTGTCGGAGAGTAACGCCACGGCGCATTAGTAATTCCTCTACCTCAGCCTTGAATTCGGATCCATTATCAGTTAGCATCTCCTCTGTATCTAGATGGGTATTGAGGAATCGATCGATGTATGTGGCTATTTCTGAGGCCTTACGGGTCTTACACGGGTAGACTTCGATATATTTCGAAAAATGGTCGATCAACACCAAGAGGATGGAATACTCGCAGCGGTTGGGGCCAGATGGCACATCAATATCTGTCGTATCCATACTGACCCGTTGAAAAGGTCGTTCTACTTCTGTCGGGACGATCGTATTTGGTCCACGAATGGGTGCAGGGTCGGCCGCACAGACCAGACAGTTAGCAACCACGTGCTTCACATCATCCCGGATATTAGACCAGAACCATCGGTTCTGATCGATAGTTGCCTCGGTGACCAGTATTGCAAAATGAGCGGCCTGTTCCTCGTGCGCCGATTTAGTCCTGTCATATCTCTAGAAGGGATGGGGAACCGTCAACCATAATCCTGAGCCGTCTGTCTTACGCTTCTCCAGATGTCCGTTGATCCATCGATAATCTCGAGATCTTTCGGTAGCTCGATGCCTGACGTGCTTAGTGAGATGGTCCAACGGTTGACCAGCTAATTTAGCTAATAATATTTTATCCGTCCATACCTCCGCCTGTCGATACTTCTCATCGTATTCAGGGTTGTTCGTTCGGGCAGCCTCGAACCGAGCCTCCGTAGGAAGTTTTTCCGTCCTACACAGGGGGCATCTCTATTCCTTACTACTCGTCTTGTATCGAACACACGCGCCATGTGCACAATTGACACACGTCGCGCATTCTACCCAGTCAGTAAATCCGGACTCAAAGGGATAGCAGTCTACCCCATAAACTCGGGAAATACACGTGCAAAAATAACAAAACTTGTCCGGGAGATTGGCGAGAAAGTCTGAGTGAGCGAGGGGAGCAGAAGAGGCGGGAGAGACCGAGACAGGGGGAGTTTTCATTATTCTGAGAGAGGGAGGGCGAGAGAATCAGGATACACGCGTCCACTTAACCCTTCGGCAGGATCTCCACTTGTCCGTACTGAGGCTCGTTCTTTGGCTCTGGATCGCGCCAAGGGAACACCTCCTCACTCCTGGGTACCTTGTCGGGGCGGTGGAGTCGTGTCATCCCGCCCGCGTTGTCGTGTTTCTCGTGTTTCCGATAACGAATGTCAAAGTCCATACTCTGCAACGTGGTGGCCCATCGCTCGATCATGCCCAAGTAATCCTTGGACTTCTTCAGTGCCAACAGCGGTTCGTGATCGGTCACCAACGTAAACTTTCGACCATATAAGTACGCTCGGAAGTGACAGATCCCCCACAAGGCCGCGTAGCATTCCCCCGTCGGGGCACAGTAGTTGCGTTTACAGGACGACACTTACTTTGACGCGTATTCCACCACGTGTTCGAGGTCGTCTGGTCCCACCTGGGCCAAGATTGCTGAGACCGCCTCGGGCTGCCAATCGGTGATGAGGACGAAGGGTTTTTCCGAGTCTGACCTTATGAGGACTGGAGCCAAAATCAGGGCCGCCTTGAGTTCTCAAAACGCCCGATCGCATTGTGGAGTCCAGATCAATTTTCAACAGATTCGTGAGTGGTCTCGCGATCGCTGCAAACCCCTTAATGAATCTTCGATAGTACGATGCCAAACCCAAAAAGGCACGCACTTGCATTACGGACGTCGGAACTGGCGCGTCTTTCACGGTTGTCACTTTCTGAGGCTCCCGCTGCAATCCTTGGTCAGTTACTACGTGGCCGAGGAAGGAGATCTCAGTGAGGAAAAACCGACACTTCTCAACAACCACTTTGAATTTTGTGTCCTTCAGTGCGTGTAAGGTTCATTCAATGTGTTGCATGTGCCCCTCATAGGAACTTGAAACACAAGGATATCATCCATATACACAATCATACAGTAATTGATTATGCTCTGCACCAGCCGCGTTTTTCGCACGAAGTTCTGGAAGGCCATGTTCATCACGCACTGAAACGTGGCTTGGGTGTTGCAAATCCCCATCAGACATCAAACCCATTGCCAAGTCCCTTCGAAAAGAATGAACGCCGTTTTCGGGCGGTCTTCTTTTCGAACAAGGAGATGGTGGAACCCATGGCGGACATCAAAGTTACTGAAAAATCGAGCGCTTCCGATAGCACAGCAGCTCATCGATCTGGGGGAGGGGATACACATCCTTAATCGTGATATTATTCAGTTTTCGATAATCGATGCATATGCGAATTCCTCCTGCTTTTTTTGGCACGATCACTACCGGAAACGACCACGGTCCGATAGCGGGTTCGATCCATCCATTAGCTTCAAACTCCTTGATCCTTTGAAACGCGGCCGCTCTCTGCACCGGTGAATACCGATAAGGAGCGCAACTAATCGGTGGATGATCCCCCGTGAGGATCGTATGCTCAATCACGTTAGATAATCCAATATCGTTATCATGCACACTCAGTACCTCTGCATACCCATGTAAAACATCAATCAAGGATCTTTGGATTTGTCGGGGGACATAACTGAGTATTGCAATCACGGTGTCATCAACGATGTTTAGGGGCGTGTCGATCCAATCCATCCTTCGTGATCGACTGTCGTGCACGCTGGAAAACATGGAACTACTATTTCGGACTGAGAAGACACTGACGATCATCTGTGATTCGGCCGGGCTTATCATCTCAATCTCCTTAATTTCCGCATCGGTTTCAGAGTCGGAGGTGTTTTTCGCTACCTCCATCCCTATTAACCTGGTCATTTCCTACATGAGATCTGGAACATCATCTATCGGAGCCTCGACTTCCTGTTTGATCAAAACGATCATGGTTCCTTGCGTTAGTAGTGATCTAGGCGGAGAGACAGAAAGATCCAGATATTGGTTCATCTGCTGATACCTAGCTCGGAGTGAAAGCGCGCCCTCATATAACGTGTGAGGGGGTTCCAAGAGATCAGCCATGTCTGGAATTTGCAGGATTGGTTCTCCTAGGAATGTCGTGGGGGGGATCCATTTTTCTGCGGACGGACTACGGCTCGGCTCGCTACTTTCCGAGCTCAGATCGAATGTTCGGGCGGTTGCGGGGATCATTCGAAATTCTTCTTTAGTCTCGCAACCGAACATTTCGACTAATAGTTCCCATTCTTTTTCACAACATGTTATTCGCTAAAACAGTACATTCTTGTGTGTACTATTTTGAAACGAATTTATGACGCAATGTATAGTCTGGTGGTATTCCAGATCCGGATACATCCGAACCTGGAGTAAAATCAGCTTTGAGACGAGGAGCAGAGTCAGTACATATATATCTGTTGCGCTCCTCTCGTGGTTCGGATGTGTCCAGATGTGGAACACCACAGCAGAGTATATTACACTGTGTTATACGCCTCTGAGTCAGTACATGTATCTGCTGCCTTAGTACATATATTTGTTGCACTCCTCTCCTCGTTTGGATGTGTCCAGATGTGGAACACCACAACAGAGTAATATATTACATTGTGTTTTAACTTCACTTGGAGTTGAGCATCATACTCATCCGAATCAGAACAGTATAATGACATGAACTCGAGTTTGTGAGGAGTACAACGAGTTGTGGCTCTTCACGGAATTAGGGTGAGAGAGATAGAAAGAGAGAGAGAGGCAGAAAGAGCGAGAGAGAGAGAGACAGAAAGAGCGAGAGACAGAGTCTCAGAGAGACTGTACTTAATTTTCTCGAGATGCCGCACAGGAGGCGCAGGGTCGAGCACACGCGTAGACCATCAGCCTCGCTTCTTAAAGCATTTTAGATGATTGTTGTAGGAGAGCAGCAAGGTAATGTGAATTTCCAAGACAAGCGAAGTTCGGATGTATCCGAGATCACAGGAGATAGACAGAGACAGAAAGTCCGCAAGAAATGGTCGTGTACATTTGAAGAGTGGGAGATATAGAAAGAGAGAGACAGACAGAAAGAGCGAGAGACAGAGAGTCTCAAAGAGACTGTACTTCATTTTCTCGAGACGCCGCACAGGAGGCGCAGGGTCGAGCGCACGCGTAGATCATCAGCCTCGCTTTTAAAAGCATTTTAGATGATCGTTGTAGTAGAGCAGCTAGGCAATGCAAATTTCCAAGGTAACAAAAGTTCAGATGTATCCATAGGAGATAGACAGAGAGATGAAGTCCGCAAGAAATGGCAAAATAGCACGCCAGAGGGCTGAGAGATGGGAAAGACAAGCACCGTATAATCATCCACAACATTTCGTGTTACGGACGTATGCCAAGTGTCGAACCAGTATAGACCCTTCAGTTCGAACCTTCCCCTGTGTTTTTTGGGACACATTTCAAGAAGTATTTTTTCCGAGATTCCGAGAGAGAGAGAGAGAGAGAGAGAGAGAGAGAGAGAGAGAGAGAGAGAGAGAGAGAGAGAGAGACGAAGACAGACACAGGGACAGAGAGAGACAGAGAGAGTGTGGATAATCGCACTGAATTTTCTTTTGATGCCGACATGTCGTACAGAAGACGCATGTTCGAGGAACACGCAAAAACCACAAGTGTAGCTGTACAAGAGCTGCAAGGTTTTCGTTAGGCGAGAGTAAGCCAAGTTCGGATGCATCCGAAATGACAGGGGAGAGGGAGTCCAAAGCAAACAGCAAATGAGCGCACTAGACACAGCTATGTGTGTGTGTGTGTGTGTG